ATCTTCATAGGCATTGATGTGATGGAAATGAAAAATAGATTCAGAATTGTATTTTGAAACTACTTTTCCACTCGTCTTGTCGACCACATAGAATTTTGTCTAAAGTAGCAAATATTATCTAGATTATAGACTTTTGTCACAAAAATAACTTTTATTTCTCAAGTTTTAGGAAACCTTTTGGTCACAAAAATATTACACAAAATTGTTTGATAATAGTCTTAATGTGACGATAATGTGAACTCTAATGCAGATTAGGTTTCGTTTGTATATGAATTCACTGATGAGTGCAATGAATGCCAAACTATAACCCAATGCCATCAGATAGAAAGCACTTTGCAACTGATCCAGGATAAGGATCTCATGCTCTCGCTGGTCGTCCACAGTATTCACACTCTGATCCCCATTCACTGCTAGCTTCCGGTTCTCAGTTAAGCGCCAGTAGTCCAGAAAACCGCCTTTCTTTAGGTCCGATATTCTTGTAGTCGGAATTGAATGCAAACAAAATGAATGATTAGTTGACATAAAAGTAATTGTTTGCAAAATGTATTACAATTTATTGAAGACATCCTTATACTGGAAGTCGTAATGCATAGCAATAGCCATAACATCGAGAAACACAGTCGACTCTTCAGTATAAGGCGGCAAACGTATCACTTTTGGACCAAACTTTAGTAAACCGTAATACAAGTGATCTCTGGTCGAGATATATGCGTGAGGTTTGGAGGCATTGACCACAATATTGAGTCCTTCGTCCTTATTCCTGACGGGTTGTATGAGTTCCCCGATCTCCTGATACACACCAAACTTTGCGGTCTTTGAAATCAACAAATGATACAAATTGTAACTTTTGGTAAATTTAAGTTGAATTAAAAATGTTGTGAAAACTGTTGAAAACCTTCAAAGAGTCGAAATAAGAGGAGCCATCGGTGGCTGTCACCTGAATCTGACCGCTTCGTTGTGCTGCAGATAATTCATTCAATGTGTTGATGGGTTTAGCTCTGGTGGGGATCGCCATCAATGAGTACAGACATCCGCTATAACTGGCCGTCAATAC